AACGGAAGTATTTGACGATCATTTCTATTGTTCACTTTGCGTAATTAAACAATAACATTTTTTTTATTAATACTTTTTTTGTCGTAAATTCGTAATTGCAAGACTTTAAGATATTGCTTTTTTTTTCTTATTGTATCCAATCATCGTCTATGGATGCTTTGATTTTCAGTTTAGTGACAACCTGTTTTCGTATAGAAAAGTTATTGTAGTTCTTCTAGATTCTATCATCACTCTTATAGTTTGATAAATCATTTTGATGAAAAATAGCAAGGAGATAAAAAAATTTCTATCTAGGTAAATACTGATTGGCTCATGACTTTGGAGAAAAACAAAAGAATTTTCTGAAAGTTTTTCGATGAATTTATTCCATCATGTAATTAATGGTTTTTAAATACGTGCTAATTTCAAGACAAAAAATTAATTTTTTTGTAACAAAAACAATGGTTATGAATATTTTTGATCACCAAATTTATTATTAATACAATCAAAGATAGTATAAGAAATAACAGTCATACTTTTATTAGACCAAAAAAAATTATACAACACAGAATATATAGTAGAAACAGAGAGGGTGTGAATGTGGATGTAGGTAGATGAAGAGAAGATTTGTGCCTGCACGCACACCTGTGCCATGTTTAAACGATTCACTTTTTGTTGATTACATAAAAAATATATTCGCTTTAGTTTTTTTCTTATGTCAGGGTTTATCTTGGATCGTCGCATCAACAACGATCAGATCCAGGCCCGCAATACTCATTTACTCATTTCTCATTTTCCAAATAATCAATGGGCAGTAAATCATGCACACGTCGTATCCACATCCACATCCCTCTTTATACGTATTCTGAGTTAATAGGATCATTTGAATTAGATGAGATTGTAATTATTATTTAACTTTATCCTATCGATCAGTTAGCTTTTGAGATAACTGCATTATCCGCCATAAATGCATCATCTATTCGTAGTAAACACTAACTCTCTTTCATCTATTTCGCACTAATATGTTTAGTGATCAAAAGACAATGTTATTCCTAAAACAAAACTTATTACGTGAAAATCATCATTCTGTCACGTATTTTTGTTGTTTACATAATGCATAGAAAGAAAAACTAATAAGAGAGAGTAATGAAGGAAGTATCTTGTAATATGCATTTTTTAAATTGAAAAACGTTCCACATTTTTATATGTTAAGATTTAGTCTTGAATGGTTTTTTTTTGAGAATATATAACATCTAATTACCCATACTTCGAGAAAACGAAACAAAAACATACGCGTTTTTCATACATGTATGAATAAGCAATGTGATCTAATGTTATCAAGACAGATCGTAACAAAATGATATCCAAAATATTAAAAACACTCATTTATGCTTAGAGTCCAAATGCGTGTCTAGATGTCGAATATTTCTCGAGATTTAATCGTATGAAAAAGTGCATTTTCAAAACTTCGATAATAAAAAAAAATTTTCAGGGCTTTATATTGTAGTTTTAAATTAAAGTTTCGATAATAGATATCAATTAGTGGAAACTAAGGGAGATTTCAATATGACAAATAAAATAAAATATCTAATCGATATTTATATAAGTAAAATTCATGATCCTATATAAAAATATATAGAATGTCTCAAAACTTGCACTCTTTAAGTAAATTCGTATAACTTTTTGCGTAATTAATTTTAATCAGTCAATTTATTATTTGTTTTTCTATATGATAAAATATTAGCGAAAACAGACTAAATGTTGTCGAATAATTTTATTTTTCAACATTAAAGTTTTAACTAATAATTGTAATGCTTATGTGTATGGTAAATTAGCAAAAGATAATATTCTAGGAAAGTTCATGAAAATTCAACGCATTTAGTATATCTTCTCGAAAATATGATATTTATAAAAAAAATAAAGAATATTTTTGATTTTCTAATTAGAAAATGATCAACATAGTCATTTCATAGAAAACAGAAAATCTTTTAGCATTCTGATTTTAAAAGAAATATCTTGATTTTTTTTCTCACAATTAATTGATCTATAATTTTGATATTAGTTAGAGACTAAAATACGTAATACATATACGAAATTAACATTCGTGAATAAATAACATAGATCATAATAGCATTTTTAACTCACGATGACACTTCTTTTTCTACAAACATAACTATTTATGATACAGTGAGACACATAGGTCCATAAGAAATCAAATTCATCATGTTTTACTTTTATGCCGACACATATTTTAAAGTTGTGAGAAAGAACATTTGAGTCCTTTTAGTTCTTGTAGTCTTTTGAGCATACGGATGTAAGTCTGAGTGCTCGTGTTCTCTTAACTCTCATCTACTACCTACACTCATGCCCTCAAGAGTCTAAAAGATGAAAAATATGAAAGCCATAGTAGCTTGAAAAGCATAGAAGTAAAACGGGATCAGTTTATTTTTTCGTGAATCCCTTCCTGCGAGGTTAATAAATCAAAATAATTTCATGTCTTTCATGAGTTTTATATCAACTACACGAAGAAAAAATGACATGTTAGATGACGGAAATGAGATAGAAATTATTTGTTTCAATTTCATTGATTCAAATGGACATTTTAATCAAGTAAATATAATGAATTAAATTCTTTATCAAAACCATAGAACTAAATTGATGAAACTGTTCGTTGTAATCAATGAAATTGAAATACATCAATTTCATCATTTTAATGTGATTTTCTTTTCATGTTTTGTGTCCTTGGAATTCATCATTCAAATAATCAGTCACGATAATTGGATCAATATGGCATATTTTTCCGTAAATTCAAACTTCATCTAGCTCTATTAATATTGTAATTTTTCTATAACATAGAGTTTATTTCATAATACATAGTGCAAGATAAATTATATTGCTTAATTTTTTAATGTTTATCTTCTATTCTTCACTTGATTCACACAAATTTTCTACAAAACTATTGTTGATGGATTATAGTAAATCTTTATTTATTTGAATGAAGTAGTTCCATTGCAAACAGCTTTAGTCTGAATAAAAATTGATCAACAATACTAGTTCTATCAATTTGTCACCTTCTCTCAAATAGGAAAATTACTTATCAAAACAAGCAATGAACAGCTGATATTATATGAAAATATTGATTATTTACTCAAGGAGAAAATTATGTACTTCAGAAATACATAAGTACGCTTTTTCCCTTGGTTCGAACATATGGTTAAATAATTTTTTTCTTTTTAAAATCAAAAATATTCGCACATTTTATGCTTCTGAACAAGCCCAAGTTCTGAAATATAAGTTACAATTTTTTAATCGAAATCCAGAAAGAAATAACTGTTCGATTTTTGGAAGAGTCACCTGAAGTGTTTCACCACTTTTGAGTTCATATGTTAGTCATATAGAGAAAATCTATAGACTAGAATTATTACAAACAGATTCGGTTTCACAGTAGGGTCAGAAAGTTTCAACAAAGGGTTTTCAATCTGAAGTCATGCGCATTAGTAAATCTCATAATCTTGAGAATATTCTGAAAGTTTCAGTCAAAACAATCCATCTCTTGAAATATTCAACACTCTAAAAATCATAATTTTTTGTGACTAATTCTAAAATCTTATCAATTTGTGAACGTTGAATATTTTTACAAAAACACGTTGTTATTCTACTATAAAGATTTCATCTAAATGATAAAAAAAAATGAGCATAAATGTGATGAATTACTTTGAGCGTAATCCAATATATTTTAATATTTTAGTCGAACAAGTACACAATCCATTCAAACCTCTTTGCTTCTAATCATTGAAGAATAAAAAATAAACAGAAGACCAAGTCCTATTTTCTAAAATAACAAAAAATAGAACCAATATAAAATGATCAATCTAGTTTTCCTATAGAAAGAGCTTGTATTCGTATAATAAAAGGATCAAATGATAATAAAAAACAATCATCTTCTGATAAAAAAATTTCCAAGTCAAATAATCAAGTTGATGAAAATTCAATGAAAAAACCCCAATTATTTTATCTTCAAATGAAATTTCAAAAGAATGGTTAACACATAATGTTTTTTATTGTTGTCATGCTTGTTTACATGAAGAAGTTTTTGTTGTTTTATCACGTAAATATATTAATTTACATGTGTCATCAAAACATGGCAATATGGAAGAAAATTTTAAACAACGTTTATCAAATTTTCTTAATAATAGAGGACGTTCGTTAAAAATTTTTCAACATTATTTAAAATGGCAACAACCATGGTCAGAAAAACAAATCGAACAAACGATAAAAAAGAAATATTTTCTTTTTTATAAAACAATATAGAAATCATTTGATCCTTTCTTTTACTTGATGTTTATATTTATCATAGATCTAAACTCTATTATATTAGTGCAATCTTTCTCATTCCTATTTTTGTTCTTTTTTTGTTTTCCCAAAACAGTTTTGCCTATATCTCGTATGTCTCACTTTATGTTTATTATTTAAAATAAAACTATAACTATCTCCGACAAAGAAAAACTCAGTGTAAAGAATCATTGATATCCTAAATTGAAAATGATCCATAAGGTCCGACTTAGAAATGTATAGCATTGTGATTTCGATATTCATCAAGAAGTTCTTTTCATGGTCATTTTGACGATCATGAAAATCTTCGTTTGTTTGAAGTTTATTTGAATTGAACCAAGAATGAAAATTACAGCTTGATGTAAGTTGTTTGCTTTCATATTATTGTAAAACATGCAGTAAATGGATTGTGTGCATTGATTTTTGACATTCATTGAGACGCTTGGATTTATCGTTGGAGAGTAGGTAATCAACTTCTATAGAATCGAAATTTCTTATCGTTTCTGTCTAAAGGTTCTTTTTTTTGATGATGCTATGTCCCCATTGTTTTTCATCAGCTTCAAGAAAACCTTCAATGAAAATCTTGCCGCAAACAATGAAAACATAGCATTAGACAATGATCATATTCTCGAATCATAAAAGATTATTTTGCTCTTATGTTATCAATTTTTAAGCCTTTTCAATCCTCTGTTCTTCAAGCATTATTACAAATTGACATTGATTGACGCTTACTCTTTACTTGCGTCATCATTAGAATAAATGTTCTGAAATCAATCAAAATTTTATCAATTATCGGGACCTTAAGTATCGGAATCTTAAATTGTTTTTTGAGAGTTCCATTCGAAAAAAATGATACCTTAGATAGTGATAGATACCGTTGTGAAAAATCACGATTTTTCACAGAAATCGGAAAATAATTAGCAAAAGACCTCTTTCTCGGTGATTTTGTCACGATATAATTTCACGATAAGATTGTCGAGGGTGTGTAGATGTGGACCTTTGCTTCAAACATACATCCATATCCATGCTTCATAATTCTTATAATATAGTATTATGATTATTATATATAATATCCGGAAAATCTAATAACAAGAAATTCTAAAGGATCAAACCAATGGGTAAAAAATAGTAAGACATTGTGCTTAGTTTAGGGCGAAGCAATCTTTTCTAGGCTAGCTACGATTATTATTTTCGTCTCGATTCCAACAAATTCTACGCTTAGTTGTTAGTGACAGATTTCAACTCCCAATTGACTGTAATTCGAAATATTGGACTACGGCTAATAGAGAATGTTTCACTAATCGATACACATTCAAAACGTCTTGCTAGCACAATATCATGTTTACAAAACCATCTGTGGTCCCAATATAGACTTCGATATAAATCGTCAAAGGGTCACACTAGAAATCAAAACTTGATTTTAATTTTGATCCTGGTCTTACTCATGTCTATTGTAATTTAAGACGGATAATAGTTTAGAAGATGACTTTCCCTCAAATATACAAATGCAATCGAGTTAATTACTATTTCTGAACTGAATTCTGAAGTGATTTTCAATTATACTTTAACATTTCTTGGGAATATTTACCAAGTTGAACTGGAAAAAACCAATTTTTAATGTTGCTTGTATGCTTTTCTTGGTGCACATACTGCACGACAGTCGATGGATGGAGTAAATAAAAATAAATGTGAGCATCTCGTAGCAATGTGTATTCGCTGATTACTTTTTATCGCGTTCTTCGAAAACATAATTCCATCATCGTCATGGTGCGAAATCGTATGTTGCGAGCGAAAGTGTGCACTTTCACTCTTGAACGAATAGAAAAATGGTGATGTATGCGAAGAATATGCGTCGTATCTGGATGTCTGTATGGCTGCTATTGAAGCACTTTTTTTCTCTTAAAATAAAAATGTAACATTTGCAGGATGAAAGAATTTGTTTTTTTGCGCACAACACTGCAAAAGGATGTAGGTGTGCCGATAAAAAAGCACGCTGTTGCCTGTACATAATGCCATAATTGAAAATGTTTCGTGTTCGTTTTTCTGAGTAAGTAAACATTCGAATCACAGCAGTCTCAAAGATCGCGATTTGCACGAAATGAATCGATTTTCTGATACTGATCTCGAGAATAGTTACTGTACTCTCATTCATGACTATTGAATCTATCCGCTAGTCTCCTTTGAAGAGTCCTGGAGGTCGACACTGCTACTTGATGATGAATAAGATTGTTGCATTGAAGCAAAACAGAATGTTGACACCATTCATCAGAACGCTATCTAATTCGTGATCAATCAGTTGCTAAGCATTAGTACAACGTGGCTGACAGTGACAACAGTCCCTATCGAATATCGAATCATGTTTTGCGATTCCCAGATCGATACCAAGCTAAGTCCTGTCATCCTTATCTGCAACTGCTGAACGACACCCAGAAAGTTATACATCATGATGCAAAAATAAATACAAAAGTATTTCCCAGTGACATTCTGAGAATTATATGAACTAAGAGATAAAAGAAGTCATTAAAAGTTTAAAAAATATGTTAAGAACAAGGTAGGACGTCTTCGTGAGTGTGGTCAGTGTTGTAACTCATCACAAAATGAAGATTCTCACTCAAAACACACGTTTTCATTCATATTCCAACCTTCATCCGTATCTGCATCCGCCCTCAATCCCAGATGATGCATGATCAGCCGCACCTTAAATCATAAAAAAAAGCAAACCTGAGTGTGGGTGTGCGTGTGCACGTGGTTAAAGACAAATCCTACAGCAATGCATATCCACACACTCATCCCAAATCCACCCTGACGACTGCATCACACACTCACATCTGCCATCGATCTGGACTGACGCATGATCAGCCGCACCAATAAATCATAAAAATAAACAAACGCGAGTGTGGGTGTAGTTAGAGAGTAGTCCCAGAGCAATGCACAGCCACAGCCACACTCAGATCCACATCCCATACGCATACTCCACACCCATCTCAAACCCACACTGCCAACTACATCCCACACCCACCTCCGCCCTCGATCCGGAGTGACGCATGATCTGCTGCACTCGTAAATCATAAAAAGGAACCAACGTGGATGTGGTGTGCTTAAACAGAAGTCCCCACAGCAATCCACACGCGTGCACCGACACCGACACCCACACTCATGCCCAAATCCCACGCTCATACCAAAACCAAGACCCCGTACCCACCCCAAATCCGTACTAACAACTACATACCACACCCGCATCCGTCATTGATCACGAATGATACAT